TAAATGAACTTACTTTGCAGAGTCCCCAAACTAAAAAGAAGTTGGAAGTGAGCTTAATCGCTCTTCTTTAAAAGCATAGGAGAACGAGGTGTAGAATAAAGTACTGTTTGTTGTTCATTTAGTGCTCCCTCTGCAGATTATGGTTGGGCTTCTCAGTATTGGACTTGGAGTTATCCACTCATGTGCCGAATCAGGGTTTTTGTGGCAAATTGGTTGCACAGGCTTCATATTTTGGTCAGGATCATTAGTAAGCAAGCTAACACTTAATTGGGAATATTATTAAAAAGAATTTCAGAAGCACTTTTACCATAAACATACAGTCCTTTAACAATGACACACAAAAATACAAACTTTTGATACAGTAGGGAATTTTTGGGGTTCAGCATCGTACTCTACCTCCTAATGACCCTCTTGGGTCAGCTTAAGCAGCTTAAGCAGACGTAAATGACATATTTTACTTTTAATTTAGTGTTTGAGTGAAAGAAAGGAAAAGGAAAAGCTTGAATTAAAGTTGCAAATTATTTTGATAATTGGAAATTAAACAAAAATATTACTAAAGTGTTCAGTGTGAGTTTTTCAATCAACTGTACAACATATATCCATTACATAAATTAGTTTCATAATTTTTTTTTTTTTTTTTTTTTTTTTAAAAGTTTTGTGTTTTTTTTTTTTTGTGGGGGGTTCTTCATGAAACTTCATGCAAAGTTATCTTCATATACGAAAGGGAAACTAATGTAGTCTTTTATTTTATTATAGACTTTCACAAAAATAACAAAACCTTATAAACATCGTCTAGGAAACGGAAACAGTTACATTTATCACAGCTAATAAAACCAAAGAAAAAATTCTACCTAAATGCTCAAATCTGCTTTAAATTTCTCAGAGATATTTTATTTAGGTTCTGATCAGCAACTGAGCAGAGTTCACTCCACTCCTGCCTGAGTGCAGGTCACGCTGTCCTTCATATCAGTGTGAAATAAAAGAACAAGAGAAGGTCGTTTTATACACATGCATAGAACAGATTGAGTGTCTGATTCAGATCTGGTGACGGGTGTTACCGTAAGCTCTTAATTTTTGGAAATCAAAGCTCTCCAGCAGAGAAGAAACGAGGTAGAAAGTAGACACTGTCAGTGCTGTGTCCCTGACATGGTCCTAGTTTTACCCAGGTTACCACAACCCAGCTGAGATTCTGTAGCATAACCTGAAGCGAGATCTTCAATCGAGACAGAATGAAAATATTGATGAGGTGAACCATCTTTTTTTATAAAACAATGGCCCAACATGTATTTTCATTGTGCAGCTCTCATAATTAACAGGAAATATCTGGCAGAGGATGTTGCTGCATAAATTCAAGGTATCAGCCTGAAAAGTTCAACAATAACAGAGTATTGTGAGTTTAATCAGACTGAGTTCAAACACATTTAAGAATAATCAATATCAATCAATCAATCAATGTATTCACCTTTTTGTTGAGTTGAATAAAACTGTAATATTTCTTTCCACCAGAGAGCGCTGCTGTTTTTCTTTTCAGCAGCCTAAATTTAATGGGGCACTAAAATATTTTAAAATTATTATGTGACATTTAATACGGAGATTATAGTTTTCAAATACTGATACTTGTCAAAAGGAATCTTGCATTTTAGCTTCTAAGCTGTCATCTAATCTCACACCAAATATGCCCATTTTATAATTAAAAGTATTGTAAAACGAATAAAAACTAGTAAAAAATAAAGACTAAATGCATTATGCCATGATATTTATTATGTTTACTTTTCTTTGAGTTTAGCTGAATGTTCAGTTGAACTTGATAAAGTTTCTGTATGACTCCCACAGAGGAGGAAACTTCAGGTAACAGGTTTGGCCTGTAAAGCTCCTTCCTCACTGTGTTTCTGTTTTGTTTCTACTTTAACAGCTAAGTGTTCATATTTACTTTGGGTTACAATGCAAATCAATTAAATAGCAGGCAATCTAAATTACACACATCCCTTCTTGTTGTTCTTTATATCTAAAGGAGTCTGCACTTTGACCAATAACTGAAAATCTTAATTCTAATTTAGTAGATTTTTGTTTGTAAAGTGACGCAGCGAATCAAAATCTACACTTTATTGCCAAAAGTTGTCACGTCCGCTGTGGCAGAGGCATGGAGAGCAGATTGCAGCCGAATGCAAGCACTGAAGATGGACTGGAACTGAGAGTGAGCCTTTATTACGGTGGAGCAGAATACAAACAAAAGCAAAAGGGGACAGAGACCAAACAAGCCAAACCTAAACTGGGAGAAACCTGAAAAAACAACAACAAAGAAAATAAAAACCTGAGACATGGGACATGCAGTTGGTAATAAGCAGATGGATCAGCGATAAACAGACGAAGACACGGGGCTTAAATACACAGAGGGATGACGAGGGAATGAGACACAGGAGGAGAGCACAGACACAATGAGACAAAGGGGAAGCAAACCTCAAAACACTGAACACAGGACACAAGATGATCAGAGTAAAACAGGAAAGGACAGAAAGTTAAAGTTTGTGCTGTGCTGACTTTCAAATTCAAATGGTTATCACTGTCTTTCAGTTTCAGTCTCCAGGATCTCTATGCAAGATGTCTGCGCCCAAAGCTGCTGGGATCACTATGTTTACTTTTACCTCCAACTCCCAAAGTCCCTGCCGTCCTCTGTTCCAGATCCTCAAGAGCCCTTGCTACAGGCCATTGTTCTCCGCTGTGTCCAAGCACCTGAGGGGGCCCAGAGAGCTTTGAGACAGTGTCGGGGGTGAGAAAACCTCAAACAGTCAAATTATTGTGTAAAATTTTTTACTTTTAAAACTTTGAGTGATTTAATGTTACGCTTTTTTGTTTTACTTTTGGTCTCTAATAGATATCACTTATATGGTCATTTCATACATACTGGCTGTAAGCACAGAAACTGCAGTCACCTGCAGGTCTTTATTCTAGCTTGAAGGGAGCTAAAATGGTTTGTTTTATACAGCAGATTAACCAAAGGACTGAATAAAGGCCAATAAGATAAAATTTTTTTAGCCTGAACCATGACTCCTGCAGCGCTACCCTAGTGGTGTCCCAACAAAGATGGAAGTAATAGGTCCACCTTAACAAACAGCATGGAAACATAAGAAAATGACATGCCATAAGAAGTATGCTTATGTTTGCTGTTCATTCTGTACGTTTACTAATAGTAGTGCTCATTGTACTATTATGCCATGTATGACTGTTCAATGACAATAAACAGTTATCCTACTTCCTGTTTCACAGGTTCTGCAGGTTAGGATTGGGCTGCTCAGTATTGGACTCGGCGTTATCTTTTCATGTACTAGTCTAAACTATCTTGGTTTCTCTAGCTTCCCATATTGGTCAGGAGCAATGGTAAGAAAGCTAATGTTTAATTAGTGTTTTATTTATTTCAGAAACTTTGTGTGACCATCAAACCAAACAGCATTTCCTTTCCAGACCCCTACAGCTTTTTGGGGCTGTTTTGTTAAATCACATCTGACTCCTCCTCTCATGCAGGAACATAGTACTGACAACATAAAGTGAGGACCATAAGAATGTGGACAGGCACAAAATCAGTAATGTTGCCTCTGTAATCAGTGAAGTGTAGACATTCAATTTTAACTCAAGGGCTGTAAAAATGTATTGTAATAACTTTTTAGAATTTACAGCCAGTTGTACAAATCACTCTCCATGTCTAGGTTCAGTTTGCAGTTTCAGATGTCATTAAAATCATTTAGATGTCGCTTTATCAAACAAAGGTCAACCTACCTGGCCAGTGTTTTCTTTCGCATGCGAATCAGAGTCAATCACCTTTAACTGAGCTAAATCGTTTAGTTCTCAGGCAACATTAGAGACAAGTGGATAATGAGAACATGGAAGATAATGCATTTACATAGTGTTATCAACTAGTTAAAATTCATATTATTTTACTATACACACACTTAATCACACACAATTAGGGCAGCAGTTGAGGTTCACCATCTGCCTCCATCGGTACCTCCTGGGGGCCATGTTGGTGCGCAAGTTGCTGTTTACTCAGTGAAAAATAAAGGAATTACTTGTATAGAGTATTTAAACGGAAGTATGTAACTTGATTAAATATTGATTTGTGTGTGTGTGTGTGTGTGTGTGTGTGTGTGTGTGTGTGTGTGTGTGTGTGTGTGTGTGTGTGTGTGTGTGTGTGTGTGTGTGTGT